TATTTACAATTTGAAAACATAACCTAAAATTTAAAAGAAATGCACTAGATTCTGTCATAAAAGTTGGCAGATTTTGTTTGAATTTACCTTCAGTACAAAAATGAAATAACCAACAATTAATAAAAACGCCAAATTGACAATTTGCATTGTTAATTTTGTCATTTTTGTAATTAAGCTAAATTTAAACAATGTTTGTCAACTTTTTTGAGAGATTTTGGAAACTGTTGTTACCAACCATAACATAATAAATTAAATTAGGCAACTAGATTAGCCTAAAGTGCCTAGTCGATCAGTGGCGTACTTTTTGGTAGGATAAAGGTTATTATAAATTATTTTTAGACTTTGGAATTTAGAAAAAAAAAGTTTCAGGTGCTTCTTTATGGACCCTAAGGAACAACCCATTTTAATATATAACATTAATTACATAACACCCTGTATAATATTATATTTTAAGGATTTGCATGCATGCACATGTGCATTGTGTATTGGAGATTTATTTAAATATGAGTTCAAGTGAAGAAGATTCTCAAGGGTAAATATTACAATTTTAAATATGTATGCATATTTATTAATTAAATGAGTGCCTTTGCCACAGCAAATAATAATTAAGTATTTTGTATCTTATTTTAAGATTTTCCAAAATCCTCGAACAGGGTGGCTCTGTGAAGTGCCAAGTGAAAATACATTGAATTCATAGATTAATTTTCTTTGCGTATTGCGTACCCATTGCGTACCCATTTTAAAGATACAGGTACAAATTCTGCAAAAATGTCTGTCACCAAAAAACATTTAGATTTAATAAAATTAAATAATTTATTTAATTCTTAAATCATGGTGTATAGTTTTTGTTCTGCCTGTAAAATTAATTCATTTTCTTTAATTTGTAATTCTTTATCTCCTGTTTACCATAAAAGATATTTGACTTTTAAAAATATTTTTTTTTAATTATTATTAAGTACCTACCTAATCCAGTCAGAAGATTTTTTATCTAATGACGTTTTACATCTCTGCAGAAATATGAAGAATTTTTAAGGTTAAATTGAAGAAAATTGGTATAAAGAATCTGGCAACACTGACTATACTATACTATACGGTATTACCTTGTAGTATTATAACTGAGTTCATATAGGTTTGGCAGAATACGAATCCACTAAAGGGTAACTAATACCTTGTAACAGTTAATATTATTATTTCTTTTTCTCTGTGTACTCAACAATTTTTAAATGGTGCGGTAATCTAACACCGCAGCTCGCTACATCGAGGCAAATCTGCAAGACAGCGGATTTGAGTATCGATGAATTAATTTCAATAAATAGAGGACATTCGATGCCATTATTGGGTTTGCAAATGCTCTATTAATAGTAGGTATATAATGCTTTATTAATAAAGTTTATGTTCTAAAAGAAAACAAATTTATTATTGCCTAATAATTGCATACACAAAGTACTTAGTTTACTTTGTTGCAGTATCAAAGGCTTGCCTTCTACACTGTTTTAATACATAATTACATTATTATTATGACTTTGAGGCGGAAAATTAATTGTCTATATATAGATTGTTTGCTTAATTAAGTAAATTGTCTAGGTATTTTACATGTAAGTTATTATTAAACTGCAGATATTGTATATTTCGCAGTTCCTTTTCCATTTTATAAAAACTTCAACTTTTTTATTACAAATAAATATTATTTTTTTCTTTTTTTTAATGTGTTTAATAGTATTTATTACGTATAAGTTATAAAATAAATATCAATTTTTTTTTACTGTATTTAATAAGGATTATTTTGTATAATTAATTAACTATATTTCAATCAAACAACATAAAGGTTTTTAATTTTTAAATGCATTTTTAGATGTTCATAGAGCGCCAATTGAGGAAATAACCCATTATTTTTTTTATTTTTTACTTGCCTTTTTTAGATGTTCGCGCGCGGTAAAACGATTGCAAAAATAATTCAATAACTTTTTTATTGTAAATAAATACCTACATATTTTTTTTAACTATCTTAACTAAGCAAAATTTAAGAAATAAATACAATAAATAACATAATTTGAATTTTAAAATTTATTCCATTAATAATAATTATTATAATAATAATAATTATTATTATAATTATATTAATAAGTATTGAGTTAAGAGAAGTCTTCTGAGCTCCCGATTAATAGCCTAAATAAATCATACAATTTTAAAAAAGCTAATTTATAATTATATGAAGCACTTTGTAATATTGATTGGGATTTTCTTGAGGACTTTACTGACTATGCTGTTGAAGAATTTTATAAAATCATCTACTAATTATTTAAACAGTTTGTACCTCTGTATAATAATTTTAAATGGAAATACCCAGCATGGTATACAAATGAAATAATATGTAAATAACATAAAATTAAAAAATCACTATCATAAAAAATTCAAACGCTCTAAAAATATAAATGCTTTAAATGATTTTAAAATTATTAAGAAGCAAGTAAAGTTAGCTAATAATGATTTTCTGGCTAAAGTTGAGTCGGGTTTTAAATCTGATCTTGAGAGTTTCTGGCATTATATTTAAACAAAAAAAGGTGGGTCGCGAATTCCTTGTAATATGTTTCTTGAAGATGATGAATTTGAGTGTGCTGAGGATATAGTTGCTGGTTTTGCAAACTATAGTATACTTCAAGTATATGTTTATGAGACTGGAAACCAAATTAGTTTAAACAATTTTAAGCAAAGTTCAAACCACATTCACTTAAATTTGTTTTCATGAAAAAGTCATATCCAATGCTATTAAATCTCTAAAAAATAGCTTGACCTGTGGTCATGATCAAATTCCCAGTTTCTTTATTAAGGATTGTCAACATTTGTTAACTTCACTCCTTCTTACTATATTTAACATAATTTTAAGGACTTTCCTGAAAAATGAAAAGTAACCCGTATTACTCCGATTTTTAAAACTTGGTAATGACATTGGTAATTATAGACCATTTGCAATTCTGTCAAACTTGTCCAAGGTTTTTGAGAAGTCTTTATATTTCCACGTCTACAATGGCATTTCGCAAAGTATGTCATCTTATCAACATGATTTTATACATAAAAGGTCTTTAGAGTATACTGTTACTAATCTGTTTGATTTTACTCAATATGTTTCCAATGTATTGGACCAAAAGGGCCAAGTGGATGTGATATATACTGACTTCTCGAAGGCCTTTGACAAGGTTGACCATAATATTTTGCTTGTTAAACTTAAGTCTATTGGTCTGAGTGAACCCCTAGTTGAACTTATACGCTCGTACCTAAGTAACCTTCAACTTTATGTTTGTTTTAATGGCTTTAAGTCCAATTGTTTTGTTCCTACATCAGGCGTACCTCAAGGATCAAACTTGGGTCCGTTGTTGTTTAACATATTCATAAACGATTTATCAGTAGTAGTATGTATATTTATTGGGAAACCAAAAGGCTATTGACCGAGGTCTTTCTGCCACAATTTATCATTTTCTTTAACATGTAAACATCTATTTTTGCAGATGATTTAAAGGTATTTTCCAAAATATCTAATGTTGATGATTGTTTAGAGCTGCAGAATCAGTTCAATGTAGTACATCAATGGTGCAAATTAAACAACCTAGTTTTAAACATGAAAAAATGCAAAACATGTACGTTTTCATTAAGGAAATATCCAACAGTTTTTCAATACTCCTTAAACAATAATAATCTTTCTTCTTGTGATGGTATTAATGATCTCGGTGTCTACTTTGACAATAAATTGTCATATACAAAATTTAGTTTCCCAGGCATTTAAAGTATTGGGCTTTATAAGCAGGAACTCTCGAGGATTTCAAAATGAAACAGCGATAAAATCTTTAAATTTTTGCTTGATAAGATCTAAAATTGAATATTGCTCCATAATTTGTTCGCCGCACTTTAATAACTCATTTATAATGATTGAGAATGTTCAACGTAAATTTTTAAAACTATTATCATTCAGGCTAGATGTCTACCCAATCAGTGGTTGAATCAGTTACTGCTTGATCGATTTAATGTTGATTAATTTCAGAGTTTTGCGTACGCCTTATCTATAGATATATATACAAGGGGATGACGTTTTTTGTGATAATTTATTAGGAGTATTCTACGGACTGTAAGTCTATAGACTTACAGTCCGTAGGTACCTATCTATAGATATTACGTTTTGTTAATTTTGCAATAGGTACCTACTAACATTTAGTAACGTGGTGTGGGAAAAATAGTGGTTTAAATAACTGTATAGGTACTATTTATATAGAATTATTATATTATATATAATTATAATTATAATAATTATAGGTAATTTTATATATCAATACAGTTATTTAAACCACAATTACCCCACCCCCAACTTAATTAATTTTAGTATTGTAGCATAATATTTATAGATACCTACACTTTTTAAAATAATATCTGGCAGTCATAATAATTATATATTATTATTAACACTTTTTCGGGTGGTTAATATAATTTTTAAACTTAAAACTTTAATAGTTATTAAGATCTAGGTAATATATATAAAAAATCTTAGTATTAAGATTTTTGAAGTGAAACTTCTTAAGCCTGGTTTATAGATTGTCCTTCATCCCTTCCTTCCGTAAAAAAAGGTTCAGGTTAGTTAGATGTAAGAAAGGAATTTTATATAATTAATGTTGTTAAAGTTAATATAATAGTTTATATAATTATTAGGACCCTTTGTTAATACTCATCTTGCCATACTATTTTTTCATTGTAACTTATAGCTTACTTATTATTAAAGAGATAATATATTACTACATAATATAAAAAATAATAACTTTAAATTGGTTATTTTTAACTTTTAGCATTTAGAGAAATTTTAATAAATCTTAATTTTACTCAAAAACTATTAACATTTTCTTAATTAATATATTTACAAAGTATACCTAAAATAGTGTGTAGAATCCAAAAATGCAAAAAAATATAGGGTGTTCCATTGAAAATAATAAGATAAAATAGAGCTACCTACTGTGAAAAGCTCATACCTTAATGTGAATAATAAATCCTTCTTCCACTTCAATCTTAGACGGCCGCCAACACTGTGACCGCTTGCGTTTTAAAGTGTGTGTAGACAATAAATATGGCAGAAGAAATAAAATCCTTGTGGTTCTTACTTCTATAAGAAAGAAAAAACTATAATTATGTTTCAATACGAAGTAAAATTCCCTACCTTGTGTCATATTTTCATCATCGAGTCCACTTATTTTACTTAAGATGTTATCTTTTCTTTTTTGTGCATGCATGAGCAGTTTTTCACAAAAACCTGGCCACTCCGAAAACATTTTCATGGATGCATCTGGATATAACTGGTCAAAATCGCTTTCAAGCTACAATTTATAAAAACTAGATATTTGGATTTTTGTAAAAACTATAGGGTGATGGGTGCATATACATACCAACGACTTCAGACTTCAGACTTCAGACTTCAGAGCTGGGTATTCATTTATATACTCGCCTATTGAGCGTGCCTCCATGGCTTTTAGTTTTTCGTATCTAATACACTGTTCAAAATTTCATGACCATTTTAACACCAAATTAACACCATATTTGGTCTATATCGATACAAACCAAAATGGTGTTAAATAGGGTTCGTTGGTCCGGTGTTAATTAAAATACTAAAATGGTGTAAATTCAAATACTAAAATGGTGTAAATTTAACTTTTACACAGTATTAAAATAAATTTTAACTGGTGTAAATTCAACTCCTTTTCAGTGTTAAATATTATGTGTTTGTGGTCAAATTAAATCATACTACACAGAAAAAAGGAAAAAAAAAAGGAAACAGGAAGTTCCTTAACGCATTACTAGTACATTACCAGTGGTATTATTCCAGAAAATGGAACCTTCAACTCGCTACTAGCGAGTCGCTAGAGATAATGTTTTTAGTTCGTTCCACTAACTTAAAATACTTTAAGTATTGACAGCTGTTTCCACCTATTTAAGGTCTCTTTAGTATCGAACAACTTGTAGTGTCACACCAAAGCAAAGGACAACATGAGCTTATATATTCTTCATGTAAGTCAACAGAGGCGAGATTTAAGAACATCACGTGATCCACAAAAAAATAAATACTTTTGGGTCTACTAAATTAATATAGTTAAATGAACTATTTCTTTTTTTCTGTGTAGGTGCACTTCTCAAATATTTTTAGATAAACACCGTTTTGGTGTTCATTTTCAACCATAATTATTATGGTGTTATATTAACACCACTTGGTGTTGGATTTTGACACCATTTTAGGATTACATTTTACACCACAGATATTTTAAACAGTGTACGAAACGTTAGTTTCCAATAAGATTCTATTTGTCGCCAAGGTTCACCGCTGTTTCTTAACCACTGCAACTCATCGCAATACTGATCTGAAGTGAGGTTACTCTCAGATTCTCTTTCCTTCACATCATCTTTACTTGATGCCAGAAGTCCACATTGTTTTAAGGTTCTTCTGTGGTTGTAAAATTTACGGAAAAGTTTTCCTGCTCCTGTTTTGTAGCCCCTGTATATTGAATAAAAAAAGTAAATGTCTTCATTTTCCGTTGGAAACAATGTCCTGATAGCACGAGCGTACCCCATAAATGTGTCAATTGATATTCTGTAATTATACGTAAGTAATGTTAATTTTTTGAAACTGCCTCTAAGTACCAATAATTACTTATGATATTAATTAAAGAGTATGCGCACCTTTTATCAATATTATCCTTTGTTTCGTAATCTATTATAGCCTCCACAAGTTTGTCTCTTAGTGCCCTGTTAAGATTTTTATTCGTTCTATAATAGCTTAAAATAGTCTTCCCCTTGTTACTATTATTTAAAATTAGTTCCAGATTAATATTCTCGATATTCACAGTGACAACATTCTGAGCGGTGCTATTGGTGGGAGTCGTGCCTGAGACGTCCTTTACTTCGGATGTTGCTATAAAAAAATATTCAGTGCCAATTGGTCCCTTAATAAATGGTTATATTGTTTGCTTACAAGTGGAAGGTACATCTAGCAACACTTCTAAACCTTCCTCTGTAGGCTCTGACATTGTAGGGTAAGACGATATAACGGATATTGCACACTAGAAACTGAATGCTCAGAAGCTGAATCCTCCATTGCTGATGACCCCTTTCAGAAAATAAATAAACTGTGAACATCTTGCCACGAAGTTTCCTAGCTGATTTGTTTTGGGGTCGTAATAAAATTGGCAATTATTTAATTAAATTATTAATCGGCCATTTCAGGCGCGCGAAACGAACGAATTACAAAACTTTTTTTTTCAAAATGTAGATAATTTATTATATAATATTTTGACATCAAAATAGTCGAAAAATATTCTTATTCTAATAGGCTATGCATTAAATTTAAAAAAACGCATGAAATATTATATAAAAGTAGATATAAATTTAATAATTGAATTGAATTGAGTCAATTATAAAATATTTCTCGCTTTTTTTTTGATTTAATGTATAGCCTAATAAAAGAAGAATATATTTGACAATTTTGATGCAAAAATAATATATAATAATTTACGTACAATTAAAAAAAAACAGTTTTGTGATTTGTCCTGTCCGTATGCTTGAAATAATACTAAACAGTTAATTAAATTATTAATTATCTTAAATGAATGAATTTATTAATTATAGCATAGTGGATCGAAGGGAAATATAATTAGCTTTTTAAGTTTTATAACATTTGCAAAATAAGCTGTTTTCAGTCCTGTTTTCCACGTAAGGTGACCCATATACAAATTTAAAAAACTACTTGAGTAACAAAAAAATTGTAAAGTACAATTATTCACGAAGTAATTTTTTTTTAAATATTACATTTTTATTTATACAACGTGTTAATCCTTGGGACAATACCAACGTTTTTATTTTTAACACCCTGTATAATTGAAAATATAATATTAAAAAAAAAATTACTTCGTGAATATTTGTCCCTTATACATTTTTGTGACTCCAGTAGTTTCTGCAGGGTATATGGGTCACCTTACGTGAACCACCCTGTACAGGGTGATCCCCTATAATGTCACCTCCCTCTAACTTTTTTATTTTAAGTCTCCCAAAAAATTTAAAAGGTTGGTTATGTAGGTAGTAAAAAATACTTTTTTTCTACGTATAAAGAAAAATGGAAAATTGATCAGTATACAGGGAAAAACAAAAAGTTTTTTTCACTGGATCACCCTATATATGTATTTATTTTTCGATTCCTTGTAAAATTCTAAGCATATTTCATATAACATACCATATACCTAAATTCAACCGTTTTTGAAATATTTATTATTATTTATTATTTTTAAGATAATAATTTGAAATAGCTTGTGTTTCTCTGTCTGAGTACCCCATTTTTACTTATTTAATAAGACATATTGACATAATGTGACTATAGTACCTAATTTATTTTAAATAAAAATTTTGGTATACTGAGGCTTCTTGATTTCTAATAGTTTAAAAAAACATTTAATGATAACATTTTGAATGCGAATATTTCAGAAACGGTTGAGTTTAGGTATATGGTTTGTTATATGAATTATGCTCAGAATTTTACAAGGAATCGAAAAATAAATTCATATATAGGGTGATCCATTGAAAAAAATAAACTTTTTGGTTTTCCCTGTATATTGATCAATTTTCCATTTTTCTTTATACGTAGAAAAAAAATATTTTTTTAGTACCTACATAACCAACCTTTTAGATACTTAAATACTTAAATATACCATAATATGGTATACAGTAAAACAACGAAATATATGTTGACCTATAAGGATTAACTTAAAAACAATGCTTTTTATGTATTTTTTTAGAATTAACGTGGACTTGATGCAGACTTGTCATAAATTAGGCCGATGCTATTGGTCATTGTCATATTTTTATTGGTCGATTATTTTCCTAGATACAAATGCATAATTTGGGCGAAATAATTTCGCACAAGTGGCACGAGACAATGGTGTAGCATCGATTGTCGATATTAGGTTGCGATTATTATGGTAACCATATTAATGCGTGATGCACTTTATTGATTGCACCCTATATTTCGTACTGTTTCAATTGACTTCGTATACATATACGCTTATTATTTTAGCGATGCG